ACCCAGTGGAACCAACCGAGGGAACTCACTTACTCACAGTTGACGTGCGACTTAAGAGTCGGTTCACATTAACCTGTGTCTATAGAAAAGCCAGGGACTGACATCTGTTAAGCTGCTCCTACAACATGTCCAGGTGACGGGTCGGCATGTAGTCTTTGGGTACTTCAATGCTCGACACACTTCCTGGCTGTGTGGTAGCGACAATCCACTGGGGAAGTACATCACCAAGACTAGGTTGGCCGTCTTTCACCCAGGTGTACACACTTTCCGGCATTCAGCCCGACCTGATTGGACATCAACGCTGGACCTGCTATTAACCAGGGATCTGCACACCATTACGGATTGCCAAGCGCTTCCGTATGGAACGTCGGATCACCGGCCTGTGCTTTACACGATCGAGGGCACACCCGCCAAACCACCGGCCAGTAAATACTTACTCCACAAGGCCGACTGGAAAGGATACAGGTCTAGCGTTGAATCCACTTTACCGGCGGTAACGCCGTGCCAGACAGTAGAAGAGGGAAACGAGGCGGTGGATGCCATCACCACCACTGTCCAGGACTCAGCCGACCTGAACATCCCTAGGTTCGCTCCGCAGCCCAACGCCATCAGGAGAACACCACGTCACATCCTCGCCCTGATCAGTCAGAGGAACAACCTGAGGAACATCTTTCAGCGCACGCGTGACTACAGCTTGAAACCGGCCATCAATGCGATGACCCGGCAAATAGCCAGCCTCATGCGAGACAGGAAGACCTCACTCTGGCATGACCAGCTCCGGAGGACTCATGATGACCACCGCCAGTTCTGGAGACTGGTCCGAACGTTCGTTAACAAGAAGAGGACTGTCCACCTGACGTCGAGGAATGAGCTGCTGACACCTAAGGAACAGGCTGAACTCCTGGCCAAAAGCTATGAAGCGAGGGATGCTGAGCGGACGAGAAATGCACCAACAATACCGGAAGGACCACTGCCCAGTCCCAACGAAGAACCCGTCTTCTCTACCTTCAACCAGCTGGAGTCGACACTACGACTCACCAAAGGAAACAAAGCGTCTGGACTGGATGAGATTCCGTACGTACTGCTGAAGATGCTCCCTAGGAAGGGTAAAGCCTTTCTACTGAACATATTCAACTCATGTCTTCGAATCTAATACTTTCCTACCGCATGGAAACAAGCGATCGTTGTACCGTTACTCAAGCCGGCGAAGAACGGGGATTCAGCTAAGCACTATCGTCCGATCAGCCTCCTCTCGCACATCAGCAAGATTTTCGAGAGGCTAATCCACCATCAGCTTATGAAGCACTGCTGGAAAGAGAGCATCATACCACTGGAGCAGACTGGTTTTGAGAGAGGGGTCGCGTGTGAACACCACCTAGCTAAACTTCAGGCCCACACAATAGATGAAATGAGTCTCAACAGAGATACGGCGCTCATCTCTTTGGACTGCAGCCAGGCCTTTGACTGCGTGTCACACACGCATCTACTTCGCCGTCTGGAAGAGTTCAGGTTTCCTACCACTCTATGCCGACTGATCCGAAGCTACCTCAGCGGAAGATCTCTCGTCGTACGAGTTGGTCCAGACTACTCAAACCCAGTCGATACCACCTGCGGAGTACCTCAAGTGGGGCAGTGGACTCTGCAGTGGTCCTTCCGGTATTGTTGGTGCATTTCTCGTCCACTCAGCATCCCTCGCTTCTTGGCTTTTGGCCAGGACTTCAGCCTGTTCCTTAGGTGTCAGCAGCTCATTCCTCGACGTCAGGTGGACAGTCCTCTTCTTGTTAACGAACGTTCGGACCAGTCTCCAGAACTGGCGGTGGTCATCATGAGTCCTCCGGAGCTGGTCATGCCAGAGTGAGGTCTTCCTGTCTCGCATGAGGCTGGCTATTTGCCGGGTCATCGCATTGATGGCCGGTTTCAAGCTGTAGTCACGCGTGCGCTGAAAGATGTTCCTCAGGTTGTTCCTCTGACTGATCAGGGCGAGGATGTGACGTGGTGTTCTCCTGATGGCGTTGGGCTGCGGAGCGAACCTAGGGATGTTCAGGTCGGCTGAGTCCTGGACAGTGGTGGTGATGGCATCCACCGCCTCGTTTCCCTCTTCTACTGTCTGGCACGGCGTTACCGCCGGTAAAGTGGATTCAACGCTAGACCTGTATCCTTTCCAGTCGGCCTTGTGGAGTAAGTATTTACTGGCCGGTGGTTTGGCGGGTGTGCCCTCGATCGTGTAAAGCACAGGCCGGTGATCCGACGTTCCATACGGAAGCGCTTGGCAATCCGTAATGGTGTGCAGATCCCTGGTTAATAGCAGGTCCAGCGTTGATGTCCAATCAGGTCGGGCTGAATGCCGGAAAGTGTGTACACCTGGGTGAAAGACGGCCAACCTAGTCTTGGTGATGTACTTCCCCAGTGGATTGTCGCTACCACACAGCCAGGAAGTGTGTCGAGCATTGAAGTACCCAAAGACTACATGCCGACCCGTCACCTGGACATGTTGTAGGAGCAGCTTAACAGATGTCAGTCCCTGGCTTTTCTATAGACACAGGTTAATGTGAACCGACTCTTAAGTCGCACGTCAACTGTGAGTAAGTGAGTTCCCTCGGTTGGTTCCACTGGGTTCGGGACGGATCTCGAAGGTACATCCTTTCTGACCAGGATGGCTATTCCCTCTCGAGACCCTGGTGCACACACATCTCGGTATATAGTGTACTCCTGGAAGTATGGACGAGTCGAGGTGTGAAGCATGATGTCTGTCAACGCCACCACTGAAGGTCTATGCAGCTGAAGAAGGAGCTCGATTTCAGCCTGCTTCTGGAAGAGGTCTTTGGTGTTTGCCCGAAGACACTACGGGCACTGTTCAAGGGTATGGACACCTCCACACCAGGGGCACGCACATGTTCGGCCACAATATTTCATAGTGTGTCCATATTCTTGACAATTTCGGCACTGTGCTGGGACCCCATCTTCTTTAAAGGTGCTCACACGAAATTTACACTGCGATATGTGATAAAGTTTAGCAATGTCTGTCAGCTTGACCGAGTCGTCTGTAATTATCTGGATCAGCTCGATAGATTTTGGTGGTTCATTCGGGTTGTATCTCTTTGTGAGTCTTCGGGCGAGCCTGAATCCTGGTAATCTGGTTTTTAACTCCTCGACTATCTCCTCGACGGGGAAATCAATATCGAATCCGTGAAGCACATATTTTCGAGATCGCTTAGTGCCTCTGGGAGCAAAACTGTGGAATTGTACCCTATTGTCCTGGCGCAACAGTAAAGTGGCTTGAAATTGGTCATTCTCGGAGTTTACATACATCCGAATTTCTTTTGATGATGAATTGATAGAGAATAATGTTATATTATTCTCGATCAGTATATTTTTCAGCGCTGCCTGGGCTATCGGAGGTGCTATGATGATTGGCGGCGGTCTGTCTCCGGTAGATTCACTCTCAACACGGAAAACTTGTTGGCAATTGGGATCTGGGAAGGCTTTTCCGGGACGGTACGGGCGGGAAACGTGTGGCGTTTGGCTACCGGGGCGTAGCCTACAGAATTCTTGGTGGTAACAGCAAATTTTAAGTTTCCCGCGAACGGCCACTGCTCTGACAGAAACATTAAAGAAACTCTCCTCCTCAAGAGATATTTCCTCAAGATTAGGAAACAGGAAACATTTTACGAAAGTCCTGAATAGCTACGACTATTGTTAAGATTGAAACACAAGTCGGAGACTGCGAGATCTAGTGGAATCTAAATTCTCTCAGCTCTTGACGGATATCCGTTACCAACCCGGATGCTATTACAAACAAATTACTGAAACGCTGCGCAATCATATTATTACATTAGATTCTTCAATAAATATTAATTAATATTTAAACAATAAATTTATTTAACAATAAATAATAATAATATTTAACAATAAATTATAAATCAAAACAAAACTAACGGCTGTGTATTACCAAAAAGGCAATACCTTTACAAAGAAAAATAAATAAAACAAAAGCATTATTGTCATTTTTTATTTTATTTCAGACTTTGCTTCCTTCTGATTTCAGTAATTCTCTTTTTTAAAAACATGAAATAAATAAATAAAAATCAAAAGGCGCGTTTAGACATTTCACAAACTGTGGGACAAACAAATATATAAGTTGTCATTTCACTATGCTATTAATTTCGTTTCTTTCTTGTTTTTGATGTTTTCAATCTGCTGTCGGCACTGGCGGATCTTCGGGGGGAGGATGGAAGGAGGCTTTCGGGCTGAAGCCCTCCCCAAAATAGTAAAATATAACCATGTTTTACAGAAAAAAATATTAAAAACTATCTTTTAAAGTATTCTTGCTCGTGTAATTATATTTAATTGGACTTCAAGAACCACTTAAAAACCATTTCATATAGGTAGTTAATTTCTTTCTTTTTTTTCTAATTAATTATCGTTATATGTAAATGAAAAAAAAAATCATTCGGGCTGAAGCCCCCTCTCCCAAAGTTAATTCTTGGATCCGCTAGTGGCTGTCGGTATCAAGAGAAATAAAATAAATAGTATGGTTTGTGAAATTTCTAAACGCTCCTTAAAATTTATCTTTAACTTTTTATGTTTTGTATTTTTGTATATTTATTTATTTATCTAGTTAAGTAGAAGAAATTTCCACTTTCACGCTTAAATTATGTTCCTCACATTTAGATTAGAAAGTAGAAATAAGATGAATAATACACCCCCCCTCACCTGGTTTTCAGAATCAAAGCCAGAAGGACATGAAATTTTCTACGTTAAAGATGAAAATTTTATTAGAAACTAAATAAAATAAAATAGATGGAGTATTTTGATTCATAGAGATGAGCTGATAATTAAAAATAAAGTTTGAAGTTCCCATTAAAATCTCTTACAGCAATTATAAAATTAAAGTGAATAATTCCAACAAACTTCTGTCGTCATCAATATTTAATAAATGTCCAACTATTTTAATATGAATTAATAACATGCACATAACCCATATCTCTTATCATGAAAACGTCAGAATCTAATTATTTAGCTTGTCAATTAAAGGTTTCAATGTTATTGGTGTCTACTCCTCCTCCCAGGGCCCTGTTAAGTAACCTGCTTCGATGTAGAGCGGGGGGTTATATTTTTTCTAAGATGAATTTCTTTTAAGCGAAAGTGTAGACGTTTCATAAATACAGTAATGGAAGTGGTTTTTTTTCAAAATTATTTTTTTTTGTATTTTTTTTCTCTAGTTATTATCAGTGTCCAGAGTACACATCTTCAGGGAACATGGGATACTTCTGATTTTTTTATGTTTCTCTCTAAATTTGGATTTCAAAAAACAGACCTTCACCGTGAAAAGGAAACAGACGGTTATATATTCGGCAATATTACTTCCAGAAGTAATACAAGCTACCATGGAACATTAGCAGTACTGAATAGAGACTATTTTCTGGAATATTATGGAAATAGGTTCATTTTTGATAAAGATAAAGCTTGTGCTAAGATGTTCAACAAGCTTAGCACAGTTGCTTATGATCCATACTGTTATGATGAAGGATATGATTTTCTAAGGAAAGTTCCATGTCTTAAAGGAGAACTTTGTGAGGATGAAGATTCTCCTCAAAATGTTGTTAAGCACTCTCAGTTTACTTATCATATTAGAGACTTGAGTGAGCCTAGGTATACTTATTACTCATTTATTTGACTTGTTAAGTTTACTTGAGGTATTAAAACTGATTATAAATATCTTAGGTTTTGGTATGTGAGTTTGGTCTCGTGTTATCGTAATTCAACTACCTGTCAATGGCATCATACACCTCACAATATACAAATTGAATATGACATTTGGTTGGTTAATGGCAATCCTAATTCAAGCAATTACAACCCACTTGTATATCAATTTTCATTTGATAGACAGGTAGGTCTTTTGAGGTTTAGATATTCATCTTTATTATTCTTTTAAAATTATATTATTGATAAAAATGTCTTTGCTTGTTTTTATTTATTTTGTTTTAGAATACTATTGAATTATACTTGGTGTTTTTCTTGATCTACTTTGTTCTGGTTCCATTACAAATTTTCGCTGTTGTGAGGCAACAGCACCCTGTGACCAGACTTTTTACGGCAAGCCTGATTTTAGAATTTCTTGGATTGCTATTTAATTTAATAAGTGTTATGAAGTTTGTTGTGGATGGTGTCGGTTATCCCAAATTGGCTGTAATTGGTGATGTTCTGGATATCCTTTCTAGAGTCAGTATATTTATATATTTATATGTGCATGTTTTTAAATTGCAAATTGCTCTTTTTTGAATGATATACACTGATAATTTTTTTGTAAAGCCTTGTTATTACTAGCATGAATTATTTATGTGTAGTTACACGGTAGTATTTGAACAAGTGGTACAAAATTGATGTGGCACAATAATAATTGACACTTATCAATTTTATATAATAAATGTTATAGAGTCATATGGGCGATAGAGTCTATGGGTTTTTGTAGTTTATTATACATAAGAATTTGTTAAATACAATAAGCAATATGCTTTTCTTATTTTATACAAAAAAGCAAATAGATTAATATATAATAACATATAAATGTATTCAGAGCAAAGTCAGAAAACAGTAACAAAAAAATAATAAAATTTTATACATTTTTTTTTCTCTCTGCTCCTAGGGCCCTTGGGCATGGGTTTAATATTTGTTGACCTAGTATCACCAAAAAAAGTTTCATTGAAATCTGTGACCCCATGTATAACCACCCCTTGTGAGTAATGGAAATTATTAATAAGAAAAATATATTTCACGAAATAGCATTCCGCAATATAATGAATTAAGGTTTTTATTTATAATTATATTTTTCCATGATTGTTTAATCTATGTAAAAGCTTGACTAAAGATATGTGGTGTAACCTAAGTGTCAAATATAAATTGACTCATCTGGTATAACTGTTCATTGTTAAAGGTAAATAACTAATTTAATGGCGGAAAAGTTATTTGCAACTAGCTCAAGAGATTGGTTGCCTACATACTCTTTTGGATAAACCCAAATACTTTCGGCATTCCATGAACAAATGTGGCCAAAGTGATTGCGAACCATGCCTAATCCGTGCAGAACTCTCTAAAGCATTTAAATTTAATATGAATTTTATGTTTTGCTAAAGATATTTCAGTTAAGGAGAGTGAGGGGTGGTTCATAATCACTTCGATCACACTTTTTTGTGAATGCCGAAAACAGTCGATTATTGCCAAATATTATGAGATCAGCTCTTGTCCTAACCATCCATTCATTCCCCTTTGACTCATTTTAAAAAAAAACATCATCACCTATGATTATCTAATTAACTAACTATTTATTAAAATTATTTATTTACAACTTTGTTAATTATTATTAATTTTTTTTATAATGGAAATTACTCTGGAAAAAATTAAACAAAATGATGTTTGAATGGTCGTTCAAGGCCTGTTGATAACTGCCCATCCTGATCAAAATGAACTAATAAGCGGTGAAGGAAAAATAACTGAACTATTTTTCTCATGAAATTTTACACATTCATTTCAAACAATGGCCAAAAATGTAATTCAATCAATGAAAATAAATCTTTATCAAATTAAAATAAATCTTTTGCATTATGGTTATCAGCCAATTGGGGATATTAAAAAAAAAAGCAAATCGATGACCTTAACTTTAAAAAATGTTTTCGTTTCTTTTGCGGCTGCTTGGCAATCTTTATTTACTGAACTGTTACAAAAGTCTTTGGACAAAGTGTGGTCAAAAGAAACTGATGACTCAGGTGATTTATGGCAATTTAAAAATTTAGAGTTATAAGAGAATTAATATTTGAAATTAGAATTACAACTTGTAAAATGCATGGATCCCGATGTAGGTGCAATAATTAGTGATGAAATTAAACATTGGGTCAATGGAGATGAAGGAAATGAATGACAGTTTTAAACAGATGAAGAAATAATTTGTAGTGTCTTGGAACGTCGTTATGATCATGAATAAGTTAAAGAAAATACTCAAATGATTAAACATGAAGAAGTTGTACCATGTTTCAACAAACGCATCCAGTGGGCAAAAGAAAATAATGTAGTGCTCAATTAAATTCATATATTTTTATTATTGATTTAATAAGAGTATATAATCTAGTTGATTTCCTGTTATTTTAGTATATATTTCTTTGTGAACAGTTACATTAAAAAACAGTTTTGCACTTTAATCTGTTAAAGTTAACACCAAACTTCCAATTTATTTATCGCATCTCATGTAAATCTGTACATGTTTAATATTGCATGACTTTTTCTTTCCTTCTTACCTGTCTTCAATGGTTTCTTTGTTTATTTCAATATATTAAAACAAAAATCTTTCGTTTTAAAATTATTATTATTTTTTTTTAGACAACTTTTATGCTTTTACTTCTTCTACTAGCTAAAGGCTGGGCTGTTACAAGACAAGAATTTACCTGGAAACCACTCCTTTTCTCTGTATGGTTCATTTATGGAGTTGTTCACATATTATTGTTTGTATGGAATAAGGTATGTGCCTTTACGTTTGTTTTCAGTTTTTACATTTTAGAGGTAATCTGAAATTTTATTTAGATGATAAAGGTGTAATCATGTAAAACTCATTAGAGGTGACTATTTAATGTATTCCATGAAATAAAAGTTAATTTTTACTTTTATTTAGTTCTGATAGGACTGGAATTTTTATTTTTTATTGTTATTCTGTTCTTTAGAACTTTATAAGGTTTTTATAAAACTTTTATTTAACGCTCTGTCAAATCAATTCTTTTCACCAAAAATTAAATCTAAGAATTTGTTATTGTACAGTTAATCAAACAAAACAAATAACAGAATCTGAGAATTCATTCAAATGAAATTACTGTGTATTTGTCATTTAATGTTACTGTTTTAAGAATAATTAAAAGTTAAACTTGAGCAATGTAATCTTGGCCTACTATATGTGACACTATTATAGTGTCAAAATAATTTATATTTTATTTATTCTGTTATTCCTTCATCCATGGTATGTTTCCATTTTTCCACGTGTAGGTCATTCTTCTGAGATAAGTATGGAAATTATTATCCTCTTAATTTACCAATGAAGGGTATACCTTATCTTTTATCTTTATTTTTTATAGATATTTTATTTGTATTTTTTCCTCTCCTTTCGTCAGTACATCTTCAAAATCTCGATAACAAGCGTCATATAGAAAAACATTCCTGCCAAAGATCTATTTATCTTGGCATTACTTAAACCGTTTCAATCCATGCAAAGTTTGTTTAAAATCACCAGTGCTATGCAGTCCACTTAGGATTAGTCTGCTGGCCTGCTGGAACAAACTGACTTGAGGATGATTCAATCTCAGTGCTGGCATTAGACATTCGGTGCCCCCCCCTTCCTCCTGGCAATGATGTTATCTCTCCTCCCTCATAAAAAAATTAAATTTATATATTAAACTGTTTTATATTAAGTAATATTTGAACTTTATTTCATTCAATATTTCTTTAATACAGTTGCTTTATTGATGGACTAATATTAATTATTTTATTACGTTTTGTATTTTTTTTTTTTTATTTCCAACAACTGGGGAGTGCCTGTGAAGATAGGCCGGCATCCCCAGTGGGTGCCCCTCCAGGTCAGCGCTCCAAGGCAGTTGCCCCATTCTAAGGCTGGCACTGTACAATTTGATCTGATAGTAGAAAGATACCGCTCATCCACTCACTTATTGATCAATGTGTCTCAAATATGACATTGCCTATGAAGTTTAACTTTTGAATGATAGTTAACGCTGTAGGTATTTAATGAGGCTGGATTAAAATAAAAATTGAACTTTGGTTAAAAAAAATTATCTATACGAGCTGAAAATAAAAATTGTTTCACGAATAAATCAAAACCTATTATATCCTGGAAAATTATAGGTTATCATTTGAAACAATTAAATTCTCTAGGATATTAAAGAGAAATAATTTTAATCGGACTAGTAAGCAATGTAATAGCTTATTTTTATTTTGTATCTATGTTTTATTCACATGTTATAATCAGATTGACAATAATAATTAATATAATTCTAATTCTTGAAAGTAACAGCAAAAACAGTAAATGTGGATGACCAATTTAATTAAAATACGTGGAAAAAAGTAAAAAAAAAATCTGTTGCACACACAACTTTCACTTACCGCTCTACTTTACGTAAACTTATTTTCTGGCTGGGTTATAATAAAGTGAATTTTTAACTGAGCTAAAGATTAAAGCTTACAGCTAAAAAAATCATTAATACCATTAAAATGACAAAAATCCTATTTATTATATCAACGGTTGATTATGGCTTGTACGATCCGTTGATTATGGATTGTATGACTAGTTATGTAACTGTTATTTTCCATTGCAAAGTTTATTAAAATGAAATTATGAGATTTGCATTGCCAGTCATTAATAGGTCAAAAGTTGTCAAACTAATTGTAAGTGGACATTGTTGGAATATTACAACGGAAAATACATCATATTATTCACTAATTTAATTTTCTAAAAGCTTACATGATGATTTTTAAAATAAACAGACAATAGATATCTAATTATTTAGATATAATATCAGATCTAGAGTTATTACTAGTGCTATACGTTAGACATAAAAAAAAAAGGAATATATAATATTAAATATAATATAAGACAGTTGCACCAGCAAAAAAATGAAATGTTTCTTTAATATTTACTTAATTATAAACAGAATATGTACCGAAGTATTACAAACAAGAAGATATAGAAAATAATAAATAATAATAATTTAACCAAGTCCAGTCCAGCAGCAGATACATTTGCTATTATATCTCGATTTACTGGTGCTGTAAAGCAATTTAGACATCAATCTCTCTACTCCGATGTCTAGATGATAGAGGATGACCGTGAACATGAGAATATAAAATATTATCCCTGGTAGACTAGATCAAAAATGCGAGATTAACCCCGGTACTAAATAGAATTAAATATATTCCTATAATTTTCCCTTTTGTAAATAATTGCAGTATTAAATAAAAATGAATCCTCACAAATATGACAGAAAGCCTTTCCTTGGACTTTTCAAACAAATTTCTTAGGTAATCCCAATTGGATTACGGCATTACAAGTTAACGATAGGAAAAAACTTTCTCACCAATGTCTTATGATATTTTATAATCCCACTTATATTATTATAGTAAGGCTCGAAATCGGTTTTGTACCAATTATTAGCTCCTATCGTACTCAAATACCATGAATGGGGTACCGTTGGATTCAGAATTTCATGGGGGTTTAGCGAATCGTACTCTCTGCTTTTGTTTTTCTTTCTAAAATAAATAAAGTCGATATAAACATTTTGTTAGGCTTCAATACTGGAATGGTGGTAAGTCTGTAGATTGATACAGGACAAATTGGGCTTTGAAGATTTTGTTGCGTACACCAAGACCCGGATAGTTCCAGACCAGCGTTTTTAAGCCCAAAAAGTACTATTTTCATGATAATGCAAGTCAAAGGGTTCGCATCCACACAACCTTACGTTAATGTAATACATGTTTCATTTCGTCGACTTGAGGTCTCTATGATCAAGATAGGAGGAGTTTATATTATTTATCAAACATGTTTTTTTGTCAGTAAGCTATATCATCATTAATTCTTCATCAAATCCACAAGATTGAGTCGCCAATTTTGAAGGTTTCCTTCTCCTTCAGGCGGTAAAAATATTCCAATCACCAAGAAAATTCAGGCAAAAAAGTTATGAAAGAAAAACTTTATTTGCGAATAACTAAAAAATTACACTTTTCCCTTGGTTATGTCAATAATAATATAAAAGATTACTAAATTCCCTACAAAAGGGGAAAAAATCATCAAAATAATTTCTTTTATGATACGTTGCAGTATTTTATTTTCATATTAATTTATTATTTGATCACTGAACAATATACTGTGTTAATTTTGGCATGGGCCTACTAGTAAATTTATAATAACTTGAAATCAAAGAAACTAAAAAAGTTAAATATGTGTGAGTGTATGATCTTAAAATTGACCTTATATTTATATTTTAAGAGCTTACAAGAAATCAATGGGCAATCACTCAATTTTGATAATGACATTATTTTATAAAAACCATGACTCCTGAAATATAAGCATAGGCTCTTACGATATATTGAAATAACAGCCATGCAAATTTCAAATAAATTTGCATGTGATTACACAATCTTAAAATCAATGTTTTTATAAAAAATTATCCCTCCAATCAATCAAACATAACAATGCATTATAACGATGAAATCTGAAAAGTTAAAATATATCAATATTTGAGCATGTTATCTTACAATCATTAGGTAATATTTTCATAAAAAGCTGCTCTGATAATCCAACATTGGACCTCAATATTGAGAATATCCATAAAAAAAAAATTATATTTTTTCATATCATCTTCAATTAATAATTAAAATCTAACCTTGTTCCTTTATGAAGGAAATATATAAATTCTTAAGCAATGAATTGTATAATTAAAAACAATAAATAAGGCATAATTATATGATATTATGCTTTTACCTAAGCTGAGTACCAACCAGTAAAACGGACTAAAATAAAGTTTTTTGTTGAAATTATTGATTTGATTTTCATTGTGTTTTCCAATATACATAAAGAAAGTGAAATCTTAATTATGTACTTTCTGAAATAATTAATTCTTAAAATCTCATTATGTACATTAGGACTGGCCAATCCAATATTCATTTCACAGAATTAAGTAATGAATTATTCTGAAGTCCCTTTCCTTCCAACTTCTCCCTGTTAGTTAGGAGTAGTGCCAATTATTGATAACGTTTAAAATTGGTGGATAATTCTCTATGTTATTTGAGATTGATGTTTTAATATTTGGAACATGCTCCTCTAGTTTTATTTGAATTGTAATTTTCATTATATTGTATTTGTGATAGTTTTTAATAAATATTTTGATGATAGGTTGTTATTACATTTCACTTTTCTTTTTTTGTTTTAATTCTTTATTTGGGAGAAGAAGGAGTAAGGGGATTTTATTTAGAGCAGGGTAAGTTCAGGGAACTGTCAAACTTTTATAAACACAGTAACAAGCATCTGAGGTAATGAAGAAATAAATTTATTGGAACTAACATTCCATTATATCATACAGTATATAGTTTCATTATTCTATTTCCATTTCATTTTATTAGTTTATCATTATATGTTGTCATGTTAAAAGGTGCCTTATGATTTATTTTAGACTGAAGTGGATATAATTGAAGATATAGATGAATATCAGACTTGGCCAGGCTGGTTGATATTGGTTTTGAGATGCCTTATTATTGTTTGGTTTCTTTTGGAGTTGAGAACAACGATGAGGTATGAGCACAATGAGTCAAAACTGAATTTTTTCCTCCACTTTGGAGCATCGGCATTGGTCTGGTACATTTACCTGCCTATCGTTGCTCTTTTGGCTCTGCTCATTCCTCCATTTTGGAGATACAAACTGCTGTTAGGTAATAAAAATAATTTTTATAGCTATTTTATAGTTTTTTAAAGTTGTTGTCGTGTTAATCAGTGATTTTGTTATTAGATACTATAAATGTCATCAGAATATCATTTGAACATTTAATATATATCATTTTTCTAATATTTATCTCTGGTAAAGAATAGAATAACAAATATTTTATTTTTATTTTTAGGTATTACTTATTCTGCAGATTGCCTCGCATACTGTGTTATGACTCATTTATTATGGCCTACTCGAAGTGAACAGTATTTTTTATTAGCACATCGTGGTGATGCATCTGATGAACTTGACGAATTCAACGAAGCTCCCCATGTTCTAAATTCTGGAGAAAGTTTAATCCCCTCTTGGGATAAAAATCCTTTAATTACTTAATGGGATGTTCGGTTCCATTCTTGGAGCTATGGAAAAACTGATGAAAATAGTATTATACAAGCCCTTCATCAATCATAGAAATCGTATTACTGATAAAGGAGTCAGGTATAAAGTGTTTACTGGTTGTTGAGTGGTAAGGATTCATAATTGAGCCAAATAAAGGTGTAGATTATTGTAAATGGCCAGGTGACTGATGTTTGGCTGAAGAAAAAATTATTTTCTTAATGAGATTAATAACGCCAGATTTTTATTTTATTTTAGTATGACATGATACAAGATATTTGATTATATGTATGAATTAATTTTTTTTTTTTAATGTTTATATTAGGGGACTAGGATAACTCTTAAATCAAGAATGCAATTTAAATTGTTTTCAGTTTATTTTGATATTTTTTTTAATTTAAGAAAAAACAATTATTTTCTTAGATATTGATTTTATCTTGAAAAAACATTTTTGGGGGTAATACATATATTTGAACTTCCATTACACATAAATGAAACAAAATAATATAAAATATTTATTACTATTAAGGACTTTTCCACTACTGTGGTTGTCCTTGACCTAAAGGACATATGGTTGTCCTTTAGGTCAAAGATAAATAAAATATCCTAATTTTAATTAATAATGTACCCTCTTATTAAATAATAGAAACATATTTAGTTTCTAAAAAAATTATTTCTGAAAATATTTCATAATTTTGTAGAGCCTATAATATGCTGTTCAGAGGTAAACTAGTAAGTAAAATTTTGAAAGTTTTACAGAAGAGCAAGAAGTTTCAGATCACACTGTATTGCTTGTTGTGGAGAGTGGATGATCTTTATATTTGAACTGCTACACTTTTTATTACTTCTCCTAATTTATTTATAGTATTTTACCCTTGGAAAATACGGCTAAAATAAAGCAAATATGGACAGTGAAAATAGACACCCTAGTTTATTACCGACATATAAATATAATATACCTGAAAGGAGTTTCTTCTGCACTTTTCTTTTTTCATGAAGAGTAGAGAAATTGATTTTTAGCCCAATTAGTTTGAGTTATTACTCCATTTTTCCAAGTTTTATAAGCCAATGTTGTCTCTCAGTTACCCAATTCTATTTCTTATAAAGATTGAATGACTTCATTTTAATTCAAAGTTCATAAGTTGGAACTTTAATTCACTAAGCTTTTCAGAACCTGTCAAACAATCTCTGTTGATTGCTTTCTCTTGTGAAAACTCATTAACAGAAAAACTTACTTATAATGCTTTCCTATGACCAAAGAAAATAACTGAAGACTAAAAAAGAAAGCTCAAATTATTTTTTTAAAATATTTAAAATAAAACTAAAAATCGTTTAATTATTAGGTACTTGTCGGTTAGCCAGACAGGACCGACTGCTATCTGCCAATGTTTATAACCTGAACACTGATAAGGCTTCTCATAATTCCTATCTTCATATTCATATTTATTGCATTATATTCATATTATTGTAATTGTGAACAAAAACAAATGTAATAATAAAAAAATACTTTTATTTTACAACATATATATTAAATAGACGAAAACAAATGTAATAATAACAAAACAGTGGTTAAATAGTTGACTGTCATGAATAATGAGAAGAACAATAGTTGGGGTGATCAGTCAAATCAGAAGGCAAAAATAAATGATAATATTTATTTTGTCATTTATTTTGTCAAATAAATATTATCATTTATTTTTGCCTTCTGATTTGACTGATCACCCCAACTATTCTTCTTCTCATAATAACAAAACAGTTTGTTTTTAAATTGAAATAGACAAAAAGAAATTTGATCTACTTCAACGACTTTGTCAGGCCCTCCAATTTTTTTACTTGACCTGTATAACATGTTATGGGCACAAACCTCTCTTAAACATTTGTTCCACGTTACCATAGTTTCCTTGGATAGGTTCAGGGCAGCAACCCGCAGGGGCTAGCTGAAGTGCGCAGCTAGTGGAGATTGACGATCCTTCGGATCCTGAGTTCCACACACTGCACTAACACATACACAGGACAGTATACCACACATACACTGACACAAGGTCACCTACACTACACACCCTAGGGTCACCTATCCTAGGAAGCCGCCTCGGATGAGGGAGCAGGTCAGGATGCCCTAAGGAGGCAGCCCCTCCACCTGACTAGGGGGCAGTGGGCTGATAACCTACTCCTCTAAAATAAGTCTTATCACAAACAAACAAAAGATTAGAGCTGGATTGAACTTAAGGAATATGACAAGGCGCGGAAAACGAAAGTCGCAAGGAAGACGTATGAGACGCATTCAGGGTAGGAGACCGAGAGAGGACCCAGAATCTCCTGGGAAGAGGGCGTGCGAGATGCATTCCAAAAGCGAGGTTTAGAATGGAACAGGAGACGAGAGCTGGTACTGGAAAGGTCCACCTGGTCCAAGCTCTACAAGAAGCAACCTCACACTGCATAGCGGTAAAGAGGAATATGATTATGATGATGAGTTTCAGGTGTTCTTTGTCCCACTTTATCGTTGTTAAATTATGGGACCACCCATAAATAAATTTTAAAGCTGTTAAAAATGAAATCTTCGACCCGTCTAACCACGTTCCTTTCCTTATAGAAACTTTTTTGTTATAAGTGGTATGAAAGAATCTCCATTTCGTCTTCCTGTCTAACTTCATTTGATGACCTTCTTCACACAATTTCACGTTTCGAATCATCCCAGCGTTTTGAAAATATTCAATAGCCTCTTCTTCTGAAGACGGTAATTACCAGAATGTAATAACATCCATAATTTGAGGATAATAACAAAAATAAACAATGGAATAACTCAAGGCTTTCACGAGATAAGAAGGGAGGTTATGTGATGTAACATTAGATAACAAGTGAGGTTTCGTCCAGGCCTCCTAACCGACAAGTACCAATTATTAATTTTCAGAGTTCCTGGTTTTAAAAATTAAGTTTTTTAAAAACAGTATTTTCGAGTTATCTTGCACTTGGAAAGGATAAAAAAAAAAATTAATCATGTGGTGTTCAAAACATTTTATTTTATAACAATATATTAGGTAATATTATTGGTTTATTACAAAAAGTCACTAAGTACATTTTTGTTGTAGGTAAACTTTTAAGTATATATTGTGAATTTCAACCTTGTTTTTTAATGCTATAACACAGGAAATGCATCCAAGTGACGTAGTTTCTCAAAAATAGTTACAGATGCACTATGTTACAATGGTTCTATTATTACATTTTATTCTAAAGGGATGTGTTTTAGAATATATAAAGCATATTATTATGTTCTGATGAACAGAGAGTAAATTCATCACAGTATTTGTCGATTTAATTTTATAAAATGTTACTTAATGCAACTAAGCAATGATTTATTTTGAAATAAATATTATCAACACATCATTTACCAAGCTAAAAAAAATTTTGCTCGAAAATCTGCTGCCCAGAGTTTCTCCCTCTTTTACCCTCGTTTTGGCCCTGTCCCTTCTATCAAACTCAAATTCATCTTTTATGTTTGGAAAACTTATGGTTATTGTGATCGTTCAGGATCAAAAAATGCAACTTAATTTATTTTTTTAGGAAATCATAGTATTCACAGAAAATATTAAGATCTATCTCATAACTAGGACTTGGATCTGAAGATTTAAATTTTCCTAGGAATAGATCATAAAAATCAATTTTTAGCTCATTGATGACATAGTCCCTATATCAGATGGGGTGACCCAGATGAGATGGCCATCAATGGCCAAGTTTAGAGATGGATTCAGTGCCATCAATGAGCTTTGCGCTGAATTTAGGACTAAGCCATCAGTGATTCAATCGATGAATAAATTAACAAGCTGAATTCTATTAATGAGTTAGGAACTTGCCCAAATATTTATATGTGTGTGGGGAATAATACCTGCTAAATTTCTTGAAAATTAAACTAATATAATAAAATAAAATAGTTTTACCACTATTTAGCCTTTTTATGACCGCAACCCCGGACCATCTCCTTCCTTTATAATGCAACGGTCAACTATTAAATATTCGAAAAGCCTATTATTTTTTACAAAATAGTTGGTTACCCAACTATACAACAGTACAAACAACGCTGAGATGTGTTAAAAAAAGCATTGTCATCGGAGTACTTCTATGTACTTTAATTTAGAGCTGTATGAATAGAAAATGCTCTAAAATAAAGAATTTGTATTTGAAATCTGCTATCCAATATCGGCATTGATCTGTTGAAAACTCTTTTTCCCTTCACACAACTTTCTCTTATCACTTTTTTTTGGCATAAATAGATATTTTTAAACACAAGAAAGTGAAAGTAACAATGATGGACAGTACAAAATTTAATTTAAAATTGTTAATTACCATGTTTTTCACACTTGTCTAATATATTCTGTGGATAATGTGTAAAAGAGCAAAACTCATATTTATAGAAAAACGCAATTGAAAGTTCATATTTTCAGAAGTGCAAGTTCAATTTTTCGAGTTTCAACCCGTGAAAGAATGTTATCTCTGTAATAGCTGCATTACTTAGCACGTCTTCAAAGGGAGAGAGAAAAATTAGCTTTCTAATGATACCCATAAAAATTCACAAAATTACACTTAATTAATTAATTAAAAGGTACTTTAGAAGAAGAGATTTTGAAAATTAGGCATTTAAGCTCTGTTAGAGAACATGAATGAGAATAAGACCTACACCATGTTAAAAACTGCTTAATTTTACACTGATATAATGAATCTAATCATAATTGTTAGAGCCGTTTTTGTAAAATCTATGATATTAAGTGGCTCTTCTGGTAAGCCGATTTTGAGGAAAAAGTAGCTGTTGCATTCTAGCCATATAGATGCCTTAAATAGGTAATATCAGTTTGATATGACTTCGTTTTTGACTTAGATTGTTGACATAAGTACACACACCATTTTTTGGGGCTTGGTTATTTGGAGTCAGGGATATATCTCAAAAGATATATTTCCGTTATAAACTCAAATTCGAAAATTTTCACAATCACAATACTTTCTCTTCCTCTATATTACATTTATACGTGAGTGAAAGTAAAAAAGGATAAATCCAAGCCCTACTCATCTTCTCGACTTTCTGACACCTGGTAGTGATTCAAACTTTTTTTAAATTGTTTACAGGTTTTAGGATTTTTAAATTACTGTATTGATTATCAGCATGCTAACTTATAGCAATGTGAATAATTAGGTGTCAATCTGAATTTATTGTTTATGAGAAATATGTTATTATTCAAAAGAAAGAGTTATTGGATAAATATTTTATAGCTAAAAAAGTTTTTTATTAATTAATTTTATATTAAATCTATACTATTTCAAAATAATATGGTGTATGCTAATGTCTAGTTCTGAAGAACACCATGTAACAAAGTGCCAAATCTAAAAACAATCAGCCCAGTAGTCTCAGATAAAATCTGCAAATTCCAACAATCTGAAAATCTTATGATATAAGACCTCATATTTTGATGGAGGAGGGTTGTCTTTTCTCTGAAACTATTAGTACTGCTTATTAATTAATAAAAAAATAATAGTTATTATTTATTAATTATTTAACTATTAAAATTAATAGTTTATTTATCAAAAAATGTAAAGGATGATAATGCAAAACTATTTGCAGGAAATTTCAGACTGCTAATTTTCATAAAAGTTAAAATTATTAATTTTCCACTCTCCCTTCACTATATTATTGAGGCATTTAATAGAAATAAAACATATAAATCACGATTGTTATTTAAAAGAAAAAGTCAACTGAAAATATTTGTACCAAAAAACCATTAAAAAAAGTCAATTAACTTGATCTCTCATAAAAGGTTTTGATTCTTGCTGAAGAAATTCTATGTATGAATATAGGATAATGTCCAAAACAAAAGATAAAGTAAAAAAAATATGGTGAAAGTATCAATACTTTTGAAGAAATAAGAACTTAAATATATTTAATCTAGTTTGATCCTAAAAAAATGGTCACAAACCTGTAAGTTCTTCCAGCAACATTTGCAGTAATTGTGGACCTCATCCATTTTATTTTATTTTATCCTTATTAATGTCATTAATAACTTTCTTACCTAAAATCTTCTGGTATTGTTTATGTTTGTCTCTGCATTAGTCTTTAGTGCCAAAATCTTTTCACCTCCCACTACTCTAATAGTAATTGGTACTTTGACAATGATTTCAAATTAATTACTATATGTACTAGAACAAACCAATCTTAATCAACTTTAGTATTTCATTTAAGGAAGTTCAACTATATTTAGTTACCATTTATAATCTTATAATTTTATTTTTTTGGAATGTGTAATATTACATGATTCAATACTCTTGTATTCATGCCCTAATTCCTGTTATTAGTATTTATTTAGAGTAAAATTTAACACTGTATTGATTGTACATCTTTAAAATTGACCGTTTTGTGCTTTTTTGAATCTAGCTTTGTAATTGAGAATAAAATTAATTGATAACTTTAAATATTAAGTACATATGTGAAAAAAGTCAATTTTTACCTGAATATTTCAAAATAAATTATAGAAGGTCTGGAATTTTTATTAAAAAAAGGTTCATAATTTTCAGTCTTAATACAAACAATTTTTTTAAAAAAACTTATTTTGTCATGGGTGAATCATTTTAACTATAAGGACCTAAGTTAATAATTGCATATATATTTAGTCTATTTATTATATGTATTAATTCCCAGGGTTATATTTTTCTTCATAATCCTCATAGTTTTATTGAGAATAGATTTATTCAACAAAAGGATGTTTTGTTGCTATTCTAATTTATTTTCTATCGGGACTTAATAAAATAGTGTGCAAGGTATAATTGACCTGTGGTTATGGACTATGACCTTAAAGCTTTAATATTGGTCGGAAGAAGTTAGATTTCTCTGATTACACTTATTGTGATGTAAAAGAGAATCCAGTTAACTTCATCGACCTATCAGTGATAGATTTTATGAATTCAGGGTAACTGCTTACTTTATGGGAATACTGGAGTATGAGATATCTTGAATATATGTCAGGTCAGTATCCTTGTCTGTTTTTATCCAATCAATTTTAAGATGATAGATTTCTCTATATTGATATTAAAACATCCTCTTTTGGATTCTATTTAGTATTGAATCAGTATTTATAAATTTTAAATTCACTGAAACAGTGAAAGATACTAATATTTAAGAAAGGTTTTGCACATTTGTATGTGTCTTGCTTAAGCACAAATTTCTAGCAAATAAAGTACTAGTCCTTTCAACCTCTGTAAATAAAATTATATATTGTATATATAAATATATATTTATTGACATGTATATAGTCCTTTGTATATACACTTGTCTCCATTTATTTATATATATCTGGCCTTGTTAGAAGTCAATTTCCAAAACCATTCCATATTTATACTGAATACTTTTGTACTTGTGGGGAAAATGAAATTTCATTTTTAAAAATTTCTCTTTTAACTATAAATATTTGTCCAATGATTACGTCCTAACATTAAATATTCTTATTAGAATGAGGTATGCTCAATTATATTTGCTTGGTTTATTAGAAGTACTGTAGTTAAACTTTTGCTTCAAAATTAATGAAGGAAAACATATTAATTAATATCTTAGAACATGAAGTATTCTGGGAAATATATTAATTATTAATAATGTTAAAACTTACTGTCTTATCTTCGATTTTTCTGCATAAAGTAGTTTTGCTAGAAAAGTATATAAGTCTATGACTGATTCTCTAGATGAAAATTAAATTACATAATAAAATTATTGGAATCTGGGGGAGTTTATGTTGTATATTTTATTACTAATGGTGTAAATATTATTTTCTTTAACAATGCATTGATAATATAAATCAATAGTGATATTTTTTATTGTAAACTTTTATCATTACTTGGTCTGAAATGTTCATTAATTTTTTTCCAATAAATTAAAACCACTCAAATGAAATGTAGATATGAATATACCTACAGAACAAGCATTGGTCATCGCCATGTGGTTTCAAAATCAAACAATAGCTTAGTTCTTGAAATTGTTCTTTATTTGTTGTCCATACGCCTGTTAAAAACAAAATCCTAAAAATTAAAAAGGAATAAAAAAACATTAAAATTTTAAATTAAAGAATACTGTCCCTTGAAATAATTCTAAAGCCGAGGTTCTCTACCTTATGGCATGGGCGATTGAAAAAAATAGTGGTGGGCTCAATCAGATGAAAAAAAAGGGTTACATTTTTTTTTATATATACAACTTGTAACATATATTTATTATGAAAGTCAAATGAAAATTGATCATTAAAGAGTAGATAAATAAGATTATATTAACGAAAATATCAACTGTATAAAATATTAATTAAGTCGGCCTCTTAAGAGAAAACCGAGCTGAAATATATACAAAATAAACTGCAGTGAATAGGTTACAAATTAGTTTTACCTATCTTTTTTTTTTTTTATTATTTTGACACATTGCTTTAGAAACATGTATGCCTGTGGGCATTAGGTTGAGAACCTTTGCTTCAGAGAATGTTGCATTAAGCATTCCTTTTTTATAAAACTGTTCTAGTTGTTGGTCTAGCGCCTTAAAATATATTTTATTTATTTTTTTATGAAATAAACTTACTGAGAATTTCATTTGTTTCAAATAATTCTGACAATTACTTTAAAGTTAAAAATTCTTGTCATTACAGTTAAATATTTTTGTAAATGAATTATGTTGTAAGCTTCTGAATAAAACTCAAATCTGAAAGTTGTAAACAAATACATATAAAATAATGTTAAAGGGTTTAAAAATAAATTATAAAAAATACTCTGACCACATGGAATCATACAATTCAGGCCCTGGTTTCTAGACCTCTAATACTGTAAAAACAGAGGGGACTGTAATCTTATTTCAAGCTGTAATAGTTTACAAGTTAAAGTCATTTCTCTCTCTCTCTCATAGTATTTTGTGGTATAGATATGAAATATCGATAACTAAAGGCCATGTTCTCTCAGATTAAAAACAAAAATTTGTGCAATTGTGTCTATGGTCTAAAAAAACAACATAAAATGAGATTAGTTTTAATGGGTGTGTAGTAAACAGCTTTTTTTAATATGTTGGTATTGAGACAAGAGTGAACTGCTCTAACTTAACCATTAACATACAACTAGTTAATGGAGCACATGCTTTTTCTCAATTCTAATCATCTCGTAGAAAAAACAAAACAAAAACATTACCCTGCACTTTGTATTTATGATTTAATCAATAAGACAATTTCTAATATCATGTCTCATAATTTAGTCAACAAAATCTACAAACTGATTTGGCCATGCCTTCATTGATTTAATATTTCTGAAATGAAGAAAAAGTTATTTGTTTTATTTTTATTTTTATAATATATGTGAATTAAAATGCTCAAATCATTAACTACTTTTTCCTATTTGTTTATGTTTTATAATTGTTTATATTTATATGTATATTTTATAATGAATTTGAAGATTCAATGTAATTACCAAAAGATTGTGAATAAAATCGAATAAAAGAATACTTACTTTTTATTTAAAAAAAAATTGTCATGAATGAACTCCTATTTTAATGTTACTTTATTGTTTCTATTAATTGGTTTTCAGTTTAACTTCACTTCATGAATTCATATAATACTGTTGTATACCAATTTAGAAACCAATAAAGATTTTTTTTCTGCTGTTTAATTATTTACTGTATTATTCAATATTTATTTCCTTTAAAGGTGGTTGGGCCTGTGTCCTTATGGTTGTAATACATACATAAATTATCTTTTGCTTACTAATACTTAAAAATATAAATAAATTTGAGTTGAATCAATGAGAAAAATGTGGTTAATTACATCTCATAACTTCCACTTATCCACTAGTTTTAGTAAAAAGTAATTAACATTACCTATAGATTTATACATGCCTAAGATCACTTCATATCAAGAATTATATGACAAATTTAAGAATGCAATTGTAGAAAAACTGTTGCTCTTTAATGGTGAACTAATCATCAAGCCATTTCTATAAGAAGTAAAACATTGTTGAGTATGTGCGTGCCTCATCGATGCGAATAAATAGTAATCAGACAGAGCCAAGTCTGTTGTTTAAATTTCATGCACTAACATTTCCCGACTGAACCTCTTAATCGTTTCCTTTGTTGGTCTTTGCTGTGTGTGATGGTAAACCACTTTGTGTTGTCTTCATCTTTTTTTATATATATTTTCTTTTGTCTTCCCCTTCCACGCCTTTTAGGCTGTACGGGGGTTTTCCCAGGCCAGAGTTAAAAGAGCCCCTTGGCACCGGGACGCGAACCCGGTATTAGTTTATCACATAATCTTCTATCCAGGTTGCCAGGCAATGCGTTGTGCTGTGCACACGAGTTAGCCCGCTCAACCATCTCTGCTCCATTGTGTTGTATTTATCTGTATATTGTTCATTTTTTTACACAAAATTGATCATTTGTCAATAGTGTTAAGTATTAAGTTTAATCAGGTTTCAGCTACTCCTAATACATCACATCCTTCTGATCCCACAGAGCATTGTCTTCTTTCCGTAGAAACTTGTTCTTGTAATCGATGTTAATGGTTTAACTGGAGTTACCTGATCTTTAATGCTTAGAATTCTCAAAATATACCCAATTTTCATATACTCTCATAATGCAATGGTGAAATGACTTTCTTATGTACCTGATGGAGCAGCATTTAAGATGTTTTTTTTTTTTGCTCTAATTCAGTTCATGTGAAAACAATTTTCTCATCGCTTTCCAAATTATGGACAGCTTTTTTATTTTTTTTTTTCCTTATTGTTAAATTCTATTGATCAACAAGTTATTGTTGGGTTTGAGCGTCTTCCTTACCCAACAATGCCAATGATTTGCTGTCTTCAAACTTTTTGGGTGGTTTTCCATGTTCGTTTCTCACCTAAAAATTGCAACCTCACCTTTTAATTTTTTAAAAAAAATGTAAACAATCAAAGCGATGTAATTTATGAAGAGCATGCAATTCTGCAGGTTTCTTTAAATCTTGACAGAAAACTAATGTAATCCATAAATTGTAGTTCTTAGGCACAAAACTCAACACTATTAAAATTCCATTTTTTGAAAATCTTTGCCAGCTGTCTAAGAAACAAAATTGTACCACTGTGGTGTAGCGGTTACTGCATTAACAAGAGCTTTCTATGGACAAATTTCTGTTTCATATTTACACACCTGGTATTTATGTACATTTAAAATAGGTATATAAAATAAATTTTCCTATAACACTGGTCTGTTCCAGACAATTTTTTTTTTAGGTTTGTAGGGAATTTCATTACCTTTCAAAAGATCATCTTTTTCTTTCATAACATTTTTTCTGAAATGTACTACTTGTACGAAAATTAATAGGACTTGAAGTGGCAGACTTTTGAGTTTCATTAAAATTGTTGGAGCTGTAAAGATCCATTGGTAATCACTCATCGAAAATTTGCCCCTTTTACAATACTAGCTTTACCTAGTATTGGCAGGGAAGTAAAAAATAAAATAAATAAATAAATGTAACGGGTATTACATAAACCATAAATATAAGCGTGTAACAATCCTGGGCACTATATAGTTTTGGGTTTATTATAGTTAGTTAGTTTGAAAATGTACATTTTATTTTATAATAGAAATTATTAACTACAATAGTTTTTTTTTTTATCCTTTTTACTTTATGTCATCTCTCCATAATATTTTATACATTAAATATTAATTTTTGTAAAATTAAGTTAGCTTTGCCAAATTATAAATCTACTGTTTTTCTGGAAATGTGTTTTATACCTGAGGAAAACATATGTCTCTTTAATTAATTATCAAATTATTTCATAGTTTATATTTATCCATTTTTTATTACTATCAACACAACACATTTTTGATTATTAAAATAAATTAAATTATAGTACAGAAATAATTCCAACCTCATATCAAGAATATTAAATTGTGCAATTATATATTGAATTTGGTTAAAATCGTTGGAGCTATTTTCAAAGAAATAGTAAAGATAGATAAAATCAATTAGCTATATAAAGTGGCACTTCCTTTAAGATGATCTTAGCCAAAAAGTTTCTGCAACGTTGCTAGCAGACACCTAACTTTAATACATGATTTATTTTATAAGCATTTTTGTTTTTGAACTATGATAGAGATGGGAAATTCAATTCTTTAAAACTGAATCGATTTGATTTGCAACGATTCAATCATTGCGGTGAATCAATTCTTGGATTGATTTTTTTTTCCTTTAAATTAAAAAAGGACTTTTTATTGAAATAAAACAACAAATGTAGTGGTTATTCAGGCAAAAACATCTTTTTTCATTTTTTAACCTATTGAAATTAAAGTCTCTGATTCAAATAAAAATGTATGAATCTTACAAGTAGGAAGGAAGTTTAAGCCTGACAGGAAAAGTTTACATATTAGATTTTAATATATATATATATATATATATATATATATATATATATATATATATATATATATATAAATTGTAAGTGAAATGAAAAATAATTTTATTATTCTGGAAGAGAAGATTCCGAAAATAACCAAAAGAATCCAGCAAACAATAGAACAGGACTGGAAGATTTCCTAGAATGAATTCAGTGAGAATTGGTAAAGAACTAGAAAACAATGGAACAGGACTGGAAGATTTCCTAGAATGAATTCAGTGAGAATTGGTAAAGAACTAGAAAACAATGGAACAGGACTGGAAGATTTCCTAGAATGAATTCAGTGAGAATTGGTAAAGAACTAGAAAACAATGGAACAGGACTGGAAGATTTCCTAGAATGAATTCAGTGAGAATTGGTAAAGAACTAGAAAGTTTTCTAGGGATGTCGAGAATCGCAGTAAACATGATCCTTTTGCATGAATCACTTTTCAAAGTACAATTATTTCAGAGGAATGGACTCTTTGATTCGATTCACCTGCCCATCTCTAAACTATGCTGTTCACAGACGATTTGCAAGACTTGGTTACTTAAATTCAGTAACCAGGTAGTACTTCCATTGAAAACTAGAATTAAAAATGTATACGGATTTCAATACTTCCTTATATAATTCATGTTTAGATAAGTGAAAATAGAAACTGAAATTCATTGATAATAACGCAAGAAAAAAATATTGTAAACTGCTTATACAATTAAAGTTGTTTATTAATAAATATTTAATATTGTTTCATCAAAATAAGAAAGAAGGAAGGGTTGTTTTTCCTCCTCTTGCACAAAGAAATAAATATTTTCAAGATGTAATAAAAACAAAAGAAGTATTAAAATCTCTGCAAGATACAAAATTCAAAAATTCACTATTTTTAGCTAGGTAAAAAATATTGTATTACATTTTAAAAGAATCATTAATTTATTTTGAATTTAACTTTTCAAGTTAATAATACATTTGTTTTGTTTTGGACAAGATATTTTTAAATATTCATAAATCTAATAAACATATGTCTACTATAGTACATTGGAAATATGATTAAGGCAACAGACATATAATGATATACAAGCTGATAACAGAAAAGTGCTTTAAATATACAGTTAACGATATAGATTTGAAAAAAAAAGTTATTTACAACTGATTTGTTTTATTAAAAATAATAAATTAAAACATATGTTCTCTGACAAAAACAAAAACTTAAAAAAATAAAATTACAAAGTGTAATTTTATAATTAATGACTGAACCCATAACCCTTCATGAGTCATTAGTGGTACAGGTTTTTTTTTACAATGAAGTGTATAACCAATAAATATTTGGGTAAATACTGATTTGTTTGTAAAAATTAATCCTTTTTTTTTTTTTTAATTTTTACGTAATATAATAAAAAACATTTGAAGAAAAATATGTAATATATTTACAAATAACATTTGCTTAGGTAAATACACTATATACAAGTCTTAATATAAAATTTAATCCATCGTTTCACTTTTTATTTCTGGTGCTATAAAGGCATGAACTTTACCGGAACTGTTTCCTCCAGCAATCAGTGGTAGAACAGGATGGGCTGATAACACTGGAGAAATAGTCGTCATTTCCTCATTTCTCAATTCCGATATCAACTTCCCATCATTATTATAAATCTGGATCTAAAAAAATAAAATGAAAAGTCAACAGACCTTACTATAATGTGTGCAGAATTAGAATCCTATTTAAAAAAAGACACAGAAAAATAATAAAATATTGATATGATTGATGTTACATTTGTAGAGGATGGAGAGTAAAGTGTGTGATGACTTACAGGAGGCAATACATGTTCAAGATCCTAATATACAGGAATATTGAGTGTCTGAAGCTTGTACATCGAGCATAAGACACAAGAGGCAGTAGAGAGAATGTAAAACTAAATAGATAGAGATGACCTAATAGTAATATCAGCCCTCTATATTAATAAAATGTTGAAAAGCAGCCTTTCTTTGGATGTGTCTAAGAAGCTCATTCGCTTAATAAAAATGACAATGGCAGATACCAGATGCAGAATGAAACTACAAGGATTGCTGTCAGAGGAGTTCTCTGTGGTTTCGGGAATAATGCAAGGAGACACCAAGGCTACTCCCCTTTTTAACACGATCTTGGAGAAGGCGGCAAGGGCCATAAGAACCAACCCGGGAGGTACCATCTTTGACCGCTTCACATACCGTACGCAGATGATGTAGAGATTGTGGTAACGACGCTCCCAGCGCTGGTGGGTGCATTGAAGGAATTTGAGACCGCTGCAGCAGCTTGAGGTCTACAAATAAACAAGCAAGAGATGATGTACATGAAAAGTTCAAGACATCGCCCTCATCAAGATCAGACACTAAACATAGGCCAACACGAGTTCCCAGTATGCAGAGAGTTAAGTACCTGGGATGTATGACGGCAGACAATGATGTAGGAGCTGAGATAGGAACCAGGATTGCTGCGGGGTGCCGATGTTTTTATGCTATAAAGCGACTACTCACGTTTCGAAGACTATCAAGGAATGCCAGATTGACAATCTATGAAACATTGATTCGTTCGGTAGTCACATACGGAAGCGAGACGTGGGTTATCTCAGCAAACCATGAGATAGCTCTTGGAGTGTGAGAGCATAAGATTCTTAAGAGGATTTACGGGCCTGTATGCGAGGAAGGTGTTTGGAGGTCACGATACAATCGGGAGTTGCGACAACTCTACAGGGATGCAGATCTCGTAAGTGTCATTGAGGCAGAACGATTAAGATGGTTGGGGTATGTGGAAAGGATGTCAGCGCACCAAGTACCGAGGAAAACATTGTATTGGCGACCTAGAGGAGCAAGAAGGAGAGAAAGGCCACCACTCCGTTGGCTGGAGGATGTTGAGACAGCTTGGTGTCAGGCAGTGGAGGGCTGTCGCATTGGACCGAAACGAGTGGCGACGTATTGTTGAGAAGGCCAAGGTTCCATGCGGACAATAGCGCCGAGGAGTAAGTAAGTTGAAAAGCAGCTAATTAGAAATCTGATTAATCGAGGAGAGATGAATGAAAAACTAATTAAAATTTAGCTAACCAGAAAAATTAAATTTTTCTATTGGGAAGGAAATAATTTAAAGAAAAGGCTTGACTTCAAAGCCAACACATTCATGTTATTAGGTAACACAAAACTATTTTGTCTAATCTGTGCTGGCAAAACTAAATATTCCAGAATAAAATTTACTTTCTTTCTTTCAATATCGAAGAAGCTTGTTTTCTCTCAAAACAACCATTTATCATTTTTATATTACAAATAAAGAGCTTTAATACTATGGAAATAATGAATTTTTATACAATAAATAAATAAGCAAAATTTTCAATTCAATAATAAACAAATTGATAGAAACCATCAAGGTAATGTATTAATTTACTAAATATTATAATTATTAGATATAAACAAAATGTGCAAGATGCGTTCCAAAAGTGATTATTGGAATGGAACAGGACATGAGAGCTGGTGCAGGAGAGGCCCATCTGGACCATGATCAATAGAAGGCAACCTCACACTAATTAAGCAGTAAAAGAGGAAATAGATGATGATGATGATGATAATTAATGTCAAGGTAAATAATAATAATAGTTGAATGTTAGTAGTCATAATTACTTATTAGTATTAATATTAACCAATTAAGAGCTAAATAAAAATAATATAGTATTATCTGTTTGCAAAAGTAAACAAAGCATTTGCTTAGTAATATTAGAGAACTAATTTCCTTTGATCCTGTAAAAAAAAGAATGTAAGAAAAATAAGCCTTTCAAATATTTGATATCTTTAAAGAGTACGTCATCTATTATGATATAACACTAATCTGTTTCGTCTTATGTCATGCCAAAACAGTGGTGTGGTTATGTAAAAAATAATCCATTTACACATTAGTGTATTTGCCATAACGTTTATTATATTTTTAAAATTATAAATTTTTACATTACCAAGCTGATCTATAGCGGCTCGTTTTGGTAACCCTTTTTTAAGGAAAAAACTTATGTATAGATAATGCTGTAATGAAACTAAGACAAATAAAACAAAAACAAATAAAAAGAAAAACTATTCAGTGAAATTATAAGAGTATGGTACCAAATATTTTACAACAAATTTTTTTAATCCTAACGATTTTTGAACTGGATGGCGTACATTCACATTTACCTCAGATTAATGGAACTCCATTCAATATATGTATATGCAAATAGCAAAGAACAAAATATTCTAATCTTCTTACCCTTCTTGGATGTAAAAGACTGCCAATAAAAAACACATCATTTCTTGATGGATGCCACATTGCTTTAAAAACAGAAAGCCACCTGCCCGTATGATTGTTGTGAGGAATTGCCTTTTTTACTGAAAAAAAAAAAAACATAAATTAACTAAATAAATTTTTACTTAATTACAGTGTTTTAAATTAAGAAAAATATGTATTAAAATGAGGGCTCACTTTAAAAATGCACTAATAACAACTTACATGAAGCTTTACAGAGATCAGGAATTGTAAATATTCTAACATAATCATCGTTGGAAGTGGAGAGAACTTGGTCTCCAGCAGGTGAGAAAAAGGCACTCGTTAATCCTTTATTATGTTGCATTTCAATTAATGGTATTGCTTTTTGTGCACTGCACTGACGGATATCATAAATATTGCAACTAGATCTATTAAAAAAAAAAAAAAAAAAAGATAAAGAAATGTGTATACTGGCAGCAATTAAGAGATTACAAAACATTTTTTACCCAGCTCCTGAAGAAACCAAAAAATAGTCGTTTCTGATAGGGTGATGTTGTACAGTCCTTGCTGATCTTTCAAAACAAGGAATCCATTTAGTAATTTTTTTTGAATTTCGAAGATCAAGGACACCAATTTTACCATCTCCTACAATAATAAAATGAAATAAATAAATATAAGTGTATTTAAATTAACACTATGTATTCTTTTTAGGTATTTAAGAAGTCATTAATCATCTTCTAAACCATTCTTATGTTCTGATGTACAGTGTAAGTGGAGCCAATAGTTAATAGTATGAGCTCATGCAAAATGGAAAATTTTGATATCATTTTTTTTTTTTTTTTAATATCCCTAACATTTACATTAGAAAAATAATAGTCTACCAGTCAGATCATGCAACTTGAAAAACTGGTGGCTATTTAAATAATATTAGGCCATTAACAGGAGGACCAAAAAAGGAAATTTTTTACAGTAAAAAAAAACTAGACTTTTTTCTTTGTTTGTTTCCTCACCTATAATTCTTAAACGGTGCATCAAAGTACTCTTTAAGAAATTAAGAATGTTGAATTATGCATCAAAGGAGTATCTAAACTTAATAATGTGGTGAAGTCGTATGGCTAACGAATTCTGATTTTTACCATATTTGTAAAGAACTGAGACAAATTACTATAAATTCGGCATATACTGAGTATTAACAGCTTTAACGTAGGTCAATTATATTCTCTTATAATTATTTTTTTCATTATTTTTTTATGAAATTTAGGACCTCATTTCTCAAGATCCTTCACTGCCTAGAGATGGAAAAAGAGTCTAATAAAAACCAGTAGAAAGAGAATCAGTAGGTACCATATCAATTTTGAAATTGAAAAGTGGGATGTTTTAAGCTTATATCGACCCAGAGCACTTAAACTTGAGATAAATTCAAATTCAATGTTCCACCAGGAAGCATGAAATTTTAGGAATATTAAAACTAAATAAAAATCAATAATATACAAGGCATACAAATATTTAAATAATATTTTGAAATTAGTTAACATTTATTTTATATTAGAGGAGAAAAAAAATTACCATGAGAAATGAGAAATGTTTTATCATCAAGTTGATCATGCCATGTTAAATGACGAACCCTATCACTGAAATCTGTAGCATATACCTGAAATCAAAACATAATGTATGATATGACATGTTGGATCAAAATAAAACCAATATTAAAATTAGTTTAATTAAAATTCATCTTGTTCAATTTGGCATTAGAACATGCCATTAGGGAGGTAATGCGTACCGAGAAAGGGTTGGATCTGGGTGGGACAACATCCGTGCTGGGCTATGCTGATGATCTGGTACTGTTAAGCGAAGACGTTGAAACTATAAAACTAAATACGACAACGTTAATGAAAGCCGGTAAAGAACTAGGACTCGAAATAAACGTGGATAAAACAAAATATATGGTTAGCTGCAAAAATGGCGATACTACTGGTGATATCGATATAGATGGTAATATGTTTGAACAGGTAGATAAATTTAGGTATCTAGGTTCTACGATAACTAGAAAAAACGAAATTGAAGAAGAGATTAAGGTTAGACTGAAGGCGGGGAATGCTTGTTATTTTTCTGTGACAAAACTACTTAGTTCGCGCCTCTTGTCCCGAAACTTAAAAATTAGAATCTATAAAACAATTATCTTGCCTACAGTTCTTTATGGATGCGAAACTTGGCCGCTTACATTAAGGGATGAGCAGCGTCTTAAGGTTTTTGAAAATAAAGTATTGCGTAGAATATTCGGACCGAAGAAGGATGAGTTAACCGGAGAGTTCAGACGGTTACACAACGCCGAATTGCGTCAGATGTATCCGGGTAATATAATTGATGTAATTTCTACTCGGCGAATCAAATGGGCTTGTAAAGTTGTTGGGCTTAGTAACGAGAGAATTCCTAAAAGGTTAATATTTGCTGTGCCGAATGGTAAGCGTCCGAGGGGAAGACCGAAGCGAAGGTGGGAAGATTGCATTAAAGCCGATCTGAAGGGACTGGGTTTGGACGGCGAACGGTGGAGGGAGGTGTGTAACAAGCGATTGGTGGTGTCGGCATCGAACCTTCGGGTTCGCTAAGCCTTATTATTATTATTATTATTATTATTATAAAATTCATCTTAATCATCCTAAGCTCTACAACCCATTATTGGATCATGGCTGCCTCTAAAATAAAAATTAACTAATCTTAATTGAATAGTCATACTTAAAATTATCTTAAGTCCGATTTAACATATTCCTTAATTTAATCAATTAAGGAGTTAACTGAAAAAAATTCAGAACCATACTAAAGTATACTAGGTGAGGAATAATAAATTTACACTTGAGAATAAACAGCTCTCTAAATCAGCGCACACAAAAGTTCCATCCAGACTAGTAGAATATATCTTGGTTTGATCATAAGGATTCACAGACAGACAATTGGTTGCACACCGGTGAGGATGGAATTCAAAAACACTATCAGCTTCCAAGTCCCACAATCCTAAGAAATAAAAAACATAAATATACAACAATTATGACAGATCTTATAAGACATATGATAGAATATAATTATAATAGTATTGACTCTACTTTAAAATATCTATAATTTTAAAACAAGCTCAGAATTTTCCGTCAGCTTTAAACAGTAGCTAATGACAAAAACAATATTATTAATGGTGAGATATTCAAAATGTCTTCTAATTTAAAAGTATTCAGTGACTCTCCACATATTGAGAATAAAAAGAGGCACAGTTTAACAGACTGAGATATCAGTACTAATATGTCAGTTGTTGAAATAACTACCGTATTGTGATGTTAAAGTCAATTATATGAACACAAATGAGCCAGGTAGAGAACGAATAAGTTATCTAGAAAACATGCAAGGTATACAATGATTCATACAATTGAACATTTTTGACAGTTGACATCATAACTTTTCGCATGAAATTTCACTGGGAAATTCATGAACAATATGGCTTTAAAGTTAGGTTTGACTCACGGTATTTTGCGGATTACACAAAATAAATCCATGAAAACACATCCTAAAATACCTTGAATTCTTATTTAAATTAACATATATGATAAAAGTAATAATTTCTGATTAATATAAATAAAGTTGGTAAGAGAAAATACTTTAGAACTACATGGTTAATACAACAGAAGGATGAGGAGGTGGCACAGGCCCTACAGAACCCATGGACATGGAAAAGACTGACAAACTTGACTTAGTTGTTACAGAAAATGGCCCCCCCACAAACTAGACTAGACCAGACTGTAGGCGGGGATCACGAATCCAAGGATAATTCGATCACAAAATTGATAAAAAAAAGGTGGCCTACAAAAATATTGGGCCGTTTGTCCTATATAACCTCATTATTTTGAGAATTTGGAGGCCAAACAGCTCAATATTTTTTCTCAATTTTGTGCTCAAATTATCTTACGATTCAAGTTGAAAGCAAATGGGTATTTACGACTTTTTAATACCTAATTAAATAGACAAAGTTTGGCTCCCTCCAGATTGAAAACGGCCCAATTCCGAGAATTTTCATAAATAAAATATTTGTATGTTACGATGAGATGAAGCTATTTACGAAGTTTCAGCCGGATGTTAATAATTTGATCAAAAGGGATCTGTACCACGGACTATATATTATCGTTCATTTTCTTTTATCATTAATTAAATATAATTTATTATTTTCTTAGGTCTGTAAGGCAATTATATGTTGACACAGCTGTAGGGTATGTTTAATTGTGCTAGAGCAAGATCAGATGCAGTCTTATCGGTCAAATATGTTCTGAACACAGAACTAAAGTATAGATACTCCAAATATGTAAAGTAAAAGATGCTTTGTTTGCTTTTAAACTGTCAAAAAAAAAAAAAAAAAAATAGAATAAATGAACACATAAATCCAATCCCTATTAAAGAACGAATATTCTAGAAGATAAGAGAAAAAAAATAGATCAGTCCAAGAAAAACAATAATAGGTGTTATTGTCAAATAAAAAAGATCTAAACAAATATATATAAAGCTTGTTATTCCTTGAAGGTAAATATATTTAAATAAAAATACTGAAAATTGTTTTGTTAGATATTGAGTATGATGAACAAACAAAGAAAATGTTTACCTAAATGACCTGCGCAACTGCCTGCTAATATAAGTTTTTTGGTTACAATAGGATGAACCAATAAGGATTGTATTCTTTTTGGTACAACTTTATGAGGTTCATGATTCATCTTGAGACACATCATAGCTTCTTGAAGCCTTAAAAAAAAAAAAAAGTTGAAATTTTGTCAAGTTAAAAAGAATAAAATCTGGAAGGCTTAAAAAATATTTCTTAGTTAAAATATTAATAACCTTAAATACTTAGATCTAATCAAATATTAAACTTTAAAATTAATGTAACATACAGTAAATTTTTACATTAAAGAAGCGAAGCATTTGAAATAATAAAATATTTGTATCCTTACCTATCTATGTTGCAATCTTTTAGATTAATAAGAGGATCATATACAACTTCTCCCTTAATATCTATCATCATATTTAAAAAATCTTTTGACTGCTGGTCTTCCAAAGCCATAGGTAATGAATCTGGAGAAAATTATAGAAAAGTTTCAATAAATTGTGTAAATATAATTACAAATACAAATATTTAAACAGGAAAAAGTATTTTCAATTTAAAAAAAAAGTATTTCATTAATGACAGGAAGGTTATATTGGTTGTATGACTGGGCTACACAAATAGCACCAAGAAGAAAAAGAGGATTGGTATCAAGAGATCCATCAGCATCATTTCAATAAGTGTAGCTCAATAAAATCCATCACAATAGCCAAATCTGCCGGACGATCCGGGAGAAAAGAAATTATAAACTTTTTTTAGTTGATTTGATACTTATAAACTGTTTTTTTTTTTTTAATATAAAAGAAACCAATAAATATTATTGGTGTATCTTTCTAAACAGACATTTAAACTGCAAGAATATTGAAGGGACCCATCAACTTCTGATTCAATATAACATGTTCTCCAAATGGAGAAAATAGCAGAAAGGATTCATGTTATATTTTGAATACCTCCTGCACATGCACAAGCCAATTTGGGCACCCACCCTCCCTCTTCTTTCTCTTTACGCATAAACCACAAACAAAACACATCACCTAATAATCTCTTATCTTCCTCTTCTTCTTCTTCATAAGTAATTGGTTCTTCTTTAATAGAGGAAGTAGCATCAGCCTTCATTTTTCTAAGTCTTCTCGATGGCTCTCTGGGAGGAACTTCAGCCACCCGTCTTAAAAAATGAAAATATAAAATAGTGGATTTTACTACCAAACCCATCAAATCAACAAAGCACAGTAAATTTTAAGATATTATCTTTAAAATTACAAGAAAATTGTAACACTACCAGTATCCAATAATAAAACAAACCAATTAAATAAACACATATACTTAAATTTCTTTCTAATTTAAAACAATAGAAATATTTAGTGGGACGGCCTAATCAGATAATGAAAACTTGGAAATCATCATATGAGAGCATGAGGGGGCTTCAAATAAATAACATACTTATCAATTGGTCAAGAAATTCAAGAAGTTTTACAGCACTAGAAGACCATCTGACAGCGATAATGATGAAGGAGAGGCAGCAATCTAGGACCTAAGGACCAGGAGAGTCAGTATTTTTCACCTAAATTTATATATTCAAACTTAAATTCTTCAACTTTAACATTTAAAAAAGTATAAGGAGTGCTCAATCATCTTCTCAACTTCTCTGTCACATGCTACTTACCTCTTCCACACACCGTTTTCTCTCAGATTTATAATGGATCAATATGGACAAGACAAATATTGAAGACAAAAGATGTTCTATATTCTCTCCACTATACTTAGACCTATTTGGGCATAAGGATCAGAACTTTGGGGTTCAGTAAAACACAATTCTACATAGAAAAAATTCAAACCACACAATCCAAATTACTTAAAAAAATCATTAATGCGCCTTTGTTTATTCCAAATCACACCATACAAAACGATATGAACATATCAACAATCAAATCCTACATACATCACAAATAGACAACATTCCACTTTTCATCAACCAAATCCAATCATCCTGCCTTTCTTCCTTCCTGTTACCTTATGAGCCTCAACGAAGACTAAAAAGGAATGGCCTAGAGATCTTCTGCCCACAATGTAATAAATATCAAGAAGAACAACAATAAACAGAATCACAATTGCTTGATGTGGTACAACGCAATTGCAAATATAATGTAAAATAAAATAATAAAAAATAAAATCACCCATACATTAAATTCTGGCCAGACCATTGAACTTTAATTTCTTTACAGTTATGAACATAATTAATATTCCAAAAAAACACTTACATCCTTTTAGCCCTAGGTGTCGTCGATTTCTTACGAGGTTTAGGAGAATCGATAGGTTTTGACAAAACTTCATTAAATTCTTCAACTGCTTTAGCTATACCAAGATTCCTGAAAAAAAAAATGAGTCCAACATACATATTGACTTTACTACTAAACAATGCCAGTAATGTACAAATTCACAGATTGAGATAAATCAGGGTATAATGATTTGATTGAATATCTCAAAGAAAATAATCACCTCATCAAGTTATTTCTCTCCTCAATATTTTTTAATCTCAATTTTTCGTATGCAGAAAGTTCACAATCACTGTCAGAATCACTTTTTGAGGAATCTCCATTGTTTTCAATGCTATTTAAAATCTAGATCCACAGAAAAAATATATAAACAAAAAGGGATTGTTATATATATCTATATATATCTATCTATAAATAAGATATTAGCCCAAAATCAATCATACCTTGCGTTTACTCATTCTGTTAACTGTAGCAATTGTCCACTAAACTAAAGAGACCACAACAGCAAGAACAAGTACTGAACTGTCATTGACAACAATAACTTCCTTGTTTCCCACGCTAGGTAATATAAGCGGGAAAACTTCACAAAGAACTATTTGGAAAGAACATAGAGAACAACGAGTTTTTAATTCATTTAAGAAATGTACTTAAAATTCAGGAGTGAGTACCTCTATAATTAAAAAAAATATATAAAAATTCCATTGCATATATTCATAAGAACAATTATTATAAAGTATAAATAACCAAATATTAATTTATCTTGTTTTGAAGCAGTGGGTACTTATTTGGTAACTGATTAGATTGACACTAATGTGACATATAAATAAATAATACCGTATTTAATTCAGCATTAAGATAATTAATGTTAAAATTACCTTACGTTAAAATTAATTAGGTAATCATTCTATAAATAGGCAAAAGCAAAACGGACTGAACCGAAGATAATCCTCCGAACTGAATTAGAAGAAAATTCTAAAGAGTTATTTAGTGAAAGTTAGGTAAAAAAAAAGAGTGATTTGGTAACCATATAACTTAAACATGACTCTACCTATAAACAAGAAAATATGCAGGGACTTAGTGCCACGTAAACTACACGAAATGTAACAAACCGGACCCAGGTAAACATAGAACTGGAGGCAAAAAATAAAAACGCATGTTTCTTTATTTATTCTCCAAAGCTCCATTTTTGTGAAAAAGGAGTTAAAACAGCCGCTAAAAACTGTCAGAATGATATTTCGGAACCTGTTTTCAAGCCTTTAAATGATACTCTGCTGGAATTCAATGGGTTTTCTAGCAGGATTGCACTCCAGGTCTCAAGGACAGGTCAACTCAGCAGTGGCCACAAAATAACATTCCAAAATTCATCTCTGCCTCGAATTGGCCCTCAAGAAGAACTAATCTCAACCCACTAGATTATCAGCTAATTCCAAACTGGAGAGAATGGTATGCCACAGAGCACACCCTAACTTGGAAAGCCTCAAACAATCTATGGTCCGAGCAGTTGAGCGCTTTCCTCAAGAAGTGCTGCGTGCTGCTTTTGATGACTGGTCACTTGGAGGCATTAAATCTAAAAGTTATTGACATGGTCTTGAAGAGCAATAACTCAGCCTTTTAAAGCTCATATAAACATTGAATTAGGACCAAATCCTGAAGAGTTATGAGCTATTTTGAAAAGCAGGTAAAAAAGATTCTAATAGTGAATGATTCTAATGAGAGTGATTTGGTATTCATGGAAACCAGATCCCATAATCTACCAATATCATTATACCTAGTCCTGTATATTGTTACAAGGAAATATACACAGATTTCAACAGAAAAATTACCTTTTTCAAAAACGTTATTAGAAAATAAAATTTATATCTTATAGAGAGTAAAACAAAAAATAAATTACTTAAAATGTTCCCCTTTTGCCTTTACACAGGCATTTAATCTCCGTGACCAGTCATCAAAAGCAGCACGCAGCACTTCTTGAGGAAAGCGCTCATCTGCTCGGACCAGAGATTGTTTGAGGCTTTCCAAGTTAGGATGTGCTCTGTGGCATACCATCCTCTCCAGTTCAGAATTAGCTGATAATCCAGTGGGATGAGATCAGGGCTTCCTGAGGGCCAATCCGAGGCAGAGATGAACTCTGGAATGTTATTTTGCAGCCACTGCTGAATTGACCTGGCCTTGTGAGCTGGAGCGGAATCCTGCTGGAAAATCCATTGAATTCCAGCAAACAGATAATACCCAGATTTATTCGAAAGCTATCTCATTGCGTAAAGAGACTGAGATCTGCAAGGGAACACCAATCTTGGACTATGAAGGAATGGAAAAAAAAATGTATTCACTGATGAGACGAGAGTGGCTCTTAACAGACCAGATGGCCGTGAAAGAGTTTGGAGAAGGTCTGGAGGACGGTATAGTCAGTGCTGCACGTTAGAAACAGCCATTTCGAGGAGATTCTATCATGTTCTGGAGCGGCATACCTTGGGAGGCATGTAGAAATGATTCTTCAAGATCATGTGGTGCCTTGAAATGCTAAAGGCAGCTGTATTGGATGAGTGGAACAATATACCCCAAGATTTTCTTCAAAATATTTTTACAAGTATGTCAAGATGAGTGGAAGCAGTCATTCAAGCCATGTGCCTTAAATGTAAATTAGCAATTTAAATTGTAATTTAAAAGTTAAAATTGTAAAAAATGAAAATTTTAAAAAGTAAGTTTTCTAAGTTTTTTGTTTATTGGAAGAAATATTGTAATTTATTTTAATAAAACTTGTTTATGTCCGGTTTAAAAATGTTTATTATTGACTTCAGAAACTTTCTTTATTATGGAAAAACAGGCGGTTTTGTAAAATTCAAATATTTCAGTGTTTGATACTTCTGAGAGGGAGTTTATATATACAGGGTGGCTACCAAACTGTGGAAATAAAATTCCCTGACTTTTCCCTATTTAATGATAGTTAATAGCTAATTCATTTATTATAAATCTTTTTTTTTACTTGATTAGGATTTTTTATTTATTTTTATTTTGGAAAACTAAACTTTAAGTAATGTATTTTTGTCGCCTTTATTTTATTTTTATTTAGTGGGAGAATATACATGTTGATACTTGACGGTTTTCTCTATTATAAAATAAAGTGAGATGCGGGCGATTCTTATTTTAATATAGTTCGGCATTAGCACTTCAGTTTTTTATTAGCACAAACCACGGGCGGATCTACGGGGGGGGGGCTTTCGGGCTGAAGCCCCCCCCAAAATGGTAAAATATAACCATGTTTTATCGAAAAAAATATTAAAAAGTATCTCTTAAAGTATTATTGTTCGTGTAATTACATTTAAAAGGGCTTTAGGGATCACTTAAACACCATTTCATATAGGTAGTTAGTTTCTTTCTTTTTTTCTAAAGTAATTATCGTTATTTTTATGAAAAAACAACTTTCGGGCTTAAGCCCCCCCCCAAAAATAAATCCTGGATCCGCTAGTGGCACAAACAGAGTAATTATTATCCATAGGATACCAACTGTGAGGCGGGATGGCCGAGTAGTCGAGTCAATGAATTATTATGGAAAGAAATGACGGGGATACAAAAAGTAAGGAGGTAAACATACTATAAGTTCCCACAGAAAGTCACTTTTTTCTGGTTTTCACTTATATCAGGGACAATCCATGCCAAATCATCCAGAAAAAGTTCAATTAGTGACCTCCCCTCAGATCCTAATGAAAATTGGTAAATATTAAGTAAATATACATGTTAGTAAAAATACGAAATTTTAGTTAATTCTAAAGATTATTTTCAGAATTATGGGCTTTTAAAGTTTTTAAATATTTGAAGTTGGGAATATATTTCGGGCTCAAAACCAGCATATATCTGTTTGTTATTTATTTGTAAAACCAATATTTATTGACCAAGGGCTTTCAAAATTTATTTATTTATCATAAATTTAATACAGAATCTGCTGATACCACAAGTTTTAACATTATAATTTTCCGTCATATATAAAAAAAATTCTTAAACATAAATTTTCAAAATAGTGATAAAAATATCTAAAACTACCTGTAGCTAAAATTTCTCTCCAAATACCTCAACACAACCATATATTAATGAAAACAGCATAAAATTCTTTACCAAATGCAAAAATAATATTAGTGTGCTTTTGAGTTTGAAGAGTTTTATAACGTTTTCAACCCAAGGCAGTAAATTTTATTTTACCAGTTGCAAATACAAATCAAATTGCTTAAACCTCTCTCCAAATATTCTGATATGACCACATTTACTGGAAATAGCATGAAATTTTCTATCAGCTTATGAAATAATATTTGTGGATTTTTGAGTTACAAGAAATGTTTTATAACGTAAATCCAATAAGTTTTTGAGTGATGCGGAAATGGTGTGCTAATCGATATCGATAAATACCTGTAGCTAAAATCTCTAAATACAACCATATATTAGTGAAAACAGGAAGAAATTATCAATCAAATGATAAAATAATATTAGTGGGACTTTGAATTTGAAGAATTATGTTACAATTTAAACTTAATACATTAAAATTTAATTTATCAATTATATGCACACGAAAAATTGCTAAAATCTCTCTCCGAATATAACCATATATTGGTTGTATACTCGAAACAACATGAAATAATATCCCAAATAATAAAATAACATTGGAGGGGGCAATTGAGTTTAATGAGATTTATTATAATATTAATAAAAAAACATTGTCTGCGTACTGCGGTGTCGTTATGGTCAACACTAGCGGATCCAGGATTTAGTTTTTTGGGGGAGGGGCTTCAGCCCGAAAGCGGTTTTTTTCATAAAAATAACGATAATTACTTTGGAAAAGATGAAAGATACTAACTATCTGTATGAAATGGTGTTTAAGTGATTCTTAAGGCCCCTTTAAATGTAATTACACAAACAATAATACTTTAAGAGATACTTTTTTAATATTTTTTTCGATAAAACATGGCTTTATATTATCATTTTGGGGGGGGGGGGGCTTCAGCCCGAAAGCCTCCCCCGTAGATTCGCCCGTGATGGTCAACAAAGTAAAGTGAACAACTCCTTGATTGTTTAGAGGTAGAAGTCAAAACATATTAACACATTTTCATAAAAAATCGCATGAAGTGACAAGTATCAATAACAATCCTAATTTATTAAAAAAATTCTTTTAGTCTTATGTTAGTTTTATCACAGCTGGATATAAAATAAAAGTATTCAATAAGAAAGTTTTTGGACATGACTCCGAAACTATGCATTTTATCTAAATTATTGTTATACACAACGTTAAAGAAGATAAAATTTACTTTAAATTTTATAAACAGCTTTTTGATGTAGGGCCAATGGGTGAGGAGTTAAATAATATTGACTGTTAGCTTATTTTTATTCACAAGAAAAATTTCTTTTTGTCCGTTTTTCACCAAAACTCAAAATCAATGCATCTATGGAAGAAATTCAATATCTTCAATTCGAAAGAGCGTTAAATTTCCTATGTACCTCACCTAGATACATTTTTACATACCATACTCAGATACTGCTGTTTAAGCTC